TGAAACTGCATTAACACCAACATGTAATTCTACACCCTGTTTGAGCTTCAGGGCAATGTGCATCTTAAGACAATCCTAACAATCCCATACATATCTGCTTAGAAATATGACTGAACTCAGTGGTACTTATTCCAAGTAAGCAGACATGGCATTACAGTCTTACAGTGACATCCTTTATATATTTACTAAGAAGTCCCACTGTGGTTAATACTCCATAGTAAGAAGTATGTTTGTTCAGGACCACAGTTGTTTGCGAAGCACACATAAGGCAAAAAGGCTGCAGCACTCCTGTACTGTTTGTAAGATTTCTGTTAAAACCTGAGTAAGTTGGGAGATGAGGTAGTGCGATCCTGTTGATATTCTTGGATCTCTGACTTTCAGTACCATCGAGCATGGTATCCCTCCTGAAATGACTTTCTGAGCTGGGAATGAGTGGCCCTGCACTGCAATGGTTCTGGTCCTGCTTGGGTGGCCAACTCCAGAAGGTGGCACTTGGGAGAATATTGCTCACTTCCATGGATACTTCAGCATGGAGTTCCTCAGGGGTTAATCTTATCCCCCATACTGTTTAACATCTACATGAAACCACTGAGTGGGGATCATCAGGAGCTTTGGAGTGCATTGTCAGCCATTTGCTGATGACATGCAACTCCACTTCTTTTCAACCTCATCAGGTGAGGCTAAGGATGTGCTAGACTGGTTCCCGGCTGTGACAACTGGATGAGGGCTAATAAACTGCAGCTCAGTCTAGATAAGGCTGAGATGCTGTTGGTGGGAGTTTAACCTTTTATGGATGGGATGCATTCCCCTTGAATGAGCAGGTTCATAGCTTGGGGATGCTCTTGATCTGTCTTTGCATCCTGAGGCTCAACTGGCCTCAGTGGCATGGAGAACTTTCTACCAGCTTCAGCTGGTGGCCCAGCTATGCCCCTATCGGGACAGGCATAGCCTGGTTTCAGTAATCTATGCTGCGCTGACCCCTAAATTAGATGACTGCAATGCACTCTATGTGAGGCTGCCCTTGAGGAATGTTCAGAAGCTGCAGCATGTGCAAAATGCAGCAGCCAGATTAATAACTGGAACCAGAAGGTCTGAACATAAGACTCATTTTGGCCCACTTGCATTACCTGCCTGTATGCTTCCAAGCAGAATACAAGGTGCTGATTTTAATCTAGAAAGTCTTACATGGTTTGGGACCACAATACCTGCCAGAGTGTATGTCCTGACTTCAATCTACCCAGAAGATTGCAGCTGCATTTGCAGCTGCATCTGGGGCTTTTCTGCATTTGCAACTTCAAAGAAGGCCCAGGATGAAGAACAAGAAGTGGTGACTCCCTAATTATGGAATGGTGTGTTCACTGAGGTCTGCTTGGGGTCAACATTGTTATCTTTTCCACATCATGTTAAAAATGCCCTCTATTCCCAGGCAAATTATGGCATGTACTAGGCTTTGTTGGCTGCTTTATTCCTAGAGATATCTTTCAGATGATTAAGCTAAATTTAAGTAAGTCAATTAATGAGATCTCAGAGGACATCTTTAAGAGTAAGTCAATGGGGTACACTTAAAATGAATGTAATGCCTTGAATTATCTATGTTTAATGTAAAATTCCTCTATTTATACCTAGCAAGTTTTTAAAAACAAAATAATGCTTTGTTTTGTAAATTCCTGTGAGGGCCCATTCAACTACAAATGCCCTTTAAAAAGATTCACCTTTCATTTTATCAGGGTAGACTTGGTTTCCCTTATCTTTCTTTACATCATCAGCCCTATTTGCTGACTGCTACTAAATTTGGATCTGCACTGCTCCAATTGGATTTTTCTCCCTGGGCTGTTTTGGAGTCTTCTTGTTTGGTTCCTCTTCCCAAATGGACTGAATTAGGTTCCCAGTATAACAAAACAGATAGGGTGCCTCCTACAATTGTGGCAGTAAGAGAGGTGTGGCACATAGTTTCACCATACCTCTCAAATGCAGTTTATTTTCACACGAAAAATTAATTCTATGGGGAAACATGGAGTTAATGATTGGCAAGAAAACATTTGTTTGGTGTACATAAACCAGCTGGTTTTTTTCTTTAGATCTGCTTGTAGGTCTGTGATAATTTCCTGTCATTCTGTTTTGCATGTTTAATATGATTTGTCAGCTATGGCTGAATGACAATTTATACAGTTGAAGCATCTACTACAATCTAAGTTCAAATCCACCTCTTTTACAGCTTCAGAGGCCCCTTCACTACTGGATATACTGATTGAGACTGAACGGCTCCATTGGCCCACAACCCATGTTCCTAAATATCTACAGTAGACTCCAGCCTAATGTGGCGGAAGGGCAAGCCAGATAGGCTGGAGTTCTATAAATGCTCACTTCCTACCCCACCCATAACATTAAAAACACCCTTTTATACCAAAACCCGCTCTTATTCATATTTTCTGACCTCTTAATACAGGCCAGTACTTTATATATGTTTGTTATGTACTGTACTGTACATTTTAAAAATTTATTACAGAAAAAGGAAGTCCAAGGATAAAATATTGTACACATTTTAAAATTTTATGATGTCTAACTTAATTGCAGGAAACATAAAATCATGTACACTGTACAGTATGCATACACTTTTAAAATAAACAAAACATTAACGTAAAACATAGGCTTAATTCTTACAAAAATTATTTAAACTTATTTTACTGTTCATTGATAGTTATTTTTTAACTAGGGTGGATAGTACAGAGGCCGGATAGTTGCGAGCCGGATAGTAGAGAGTCTACTGTATTATCTGTGCAAAATATGATAAGACTGGAATATTGAATTGAACCATCCTTCTCTGCCCAATCAACAGAATGCTTCATTGGCATTTATTTCAAAGACCATAACACGTCTTAAGTTACATTTACCTCAGCAAAAATTGATGTTTTGATTATACTGGATGCCAGAAGAACTTTTCAAAGCCAGTGTGGCATAGTGGTTAAGAGCGTGGGACTGGGACTCAGATGACCCGGGTTCTAGTCCCCGCTCAGCCATGGAGCCAACTGGGTGACTTTGGGCCAGTCACAGACTCTCAGCCCAACCTACCTCACAGGGTGGTTGTTGTGGGGATAAGATGGAGGAGGAGATGTAAGCTGCCTTGAGCCCTTTGTAGGAAAAAGGCAGGATATAAACCAAAAAAAAAAAAAAAAAAATTGAATCAACCAATTGCTGGATATATAATACACTTTTCTTACTGATCTGCTTTGGCAATATGCAATGGCTGCTTCCTTTTGAGAAGAGGCAATCATTTAAATACATTTTATGATAGTTTTTTAATATTGAATATGCTTAACTATCTGCCTGCTCCTTAGAACTTAACACAGGGCTGTTCTAATCTTCTCCATGAAATCTCCATGCCCTTTCAACAGCTAAAAGACTAATACTACAACATTGGAATGGGCACATACAATAAACCAATGGATGGAGGACTTCAATTTTTGAAGAAGCAATTTTTATGTGTAATTTACAAATGGACAAATACATGGCTACTTGGACTGCCTTTGCTGAAGTCTATGCATAACTATTTTCTGTAACAGAATAGCTATAAATCTTGCTATATATAAAATAGGTAGGGATACATTGCATTGTCAGTTTTACTAAAAAACTCATTTAAGAAATGTGCAGTATGTGCTATATATAGTAATAATAAAAAAGGTAAAGGTTTCCCCATGACATTAAAGTCCAGTCATGTCTGACTCTTGGGGGCAGTGCTCATCTCTGTTTCCTAGCCAAGGCAGCCAGCGTTTGCCCAGTCTCCATGGTCATGTGGCCGGCATGACTAAACACCAAAGTGCACTGTTACCTGCCCACCGAAATGGTACCTATTTGTCTACTTGCATTTGCATGCCTTCAAACTGCAAGGTTGGCAGGAGCTGGGGCAGAGCAACGGGAACTCACCTCGTTGTGCAGATTCGAACCGGCGACCTTTTGATCTACCAGCCCAGCAGCACAGCAGTTTAAACCACTGCGCCACCCACAGCCCTGTAGTAATAATCTGTATATAAAATAGAAGTTCATTGTCTACATGTATTGTCACAGTTTTACTAAAAACCTCATTAAAAAAACCCCAAACTATTTTATCCTCCCCCTCGCAACGTAACTATTTGTTGAGGTTTTGCCCTGTTCCTTAACTCTGCTTCGTGTATACCGAGCTCCTATTTTGCACCTAAAGTCCAGTTGGCAAACTTCGAAGTTGTGTCAAACGACACAGTAGATTCTGAAGGCCAGAAGTCTGGCCGCCCCTGATTTAATGGCTTCCAGTTCGACGACTAGAAGAAACTCACGAGGGGCTGCGGGCCGCGGCGCCCCCCGCCCAAGCCTTTCGAGACCTGAGGGGGCGAGAGCCAGAGGCCTTTCCGGGGCCTACCCAGCCTCTGCAGAGTTGTGTTCTCACGCAGTGAGTCAGCACGCGGGGATGACGTCAGGCGCCCCCGAGGCGGGGGCAGCGGGAGAGAGCGCCTGCCGGGCGGCCCACTGGGGCAGAGGTCGCCCCCGCGCTTGGCGGACGCGCCCGCTTCCCGCAAGTTCACCCGCAACAGGCTTTTCGCGCGGCGCGGAACGAAGAGCTGAGTCACGCTTTCACGGGTCGCTCGAGGACGGGATTACCCAGCACGGGGTCCCAGAGCCCCGCTTGCCCAAGCCAGTGGGGGGCAGATAAAGGCCAATTCGCTTGTGCTCGCCCCTCCTTCGTGTGTGCGTGTGTGCGGGGGAGGAGAGACCGTCTTCTAACTAAGGGCTTACAATGGCGGCGCCTCCGCCCTTCCGAGCCCTCCAGCACAAGCCCTGCGCGCCCGCTCGTCTTTCCTTCTTTCTTTCTTTGCAGGGTCTTCCGTGCCGGGGGGCGGGCCAAGCGTCACGCGCTCCACTATTATTATTATGATTGTTATAATCTCCCCTCCTTTCTTCCTCCCAACCCGGGTAGGGGTTTTCCCAGCTGAAGCCCGGCCCCTTTCGCGGCCGTGCCTATAAAAGCGTCCGGGGCGGGCTGCAGCGCGACGGCTGCGCCGAGCGCGAGGAGGAGCTGCTGCTGGTGCTGCTGCTGGCGAGCGGGCTTGTCGTCTCCCGTGCTGCCGTCGGGGCAAACCCAGCCTCCGCCTTCCGCGAGCCAATTTCTACTGCGCCACAAAATCCAGCCGCCGCAATGGCTCCGCTGACGGTGAAGGCCTACCTGCTGGGCAAGGAGGAGACGACCCGCGAGATCCGCCGCTTCGCTCTCGACTTGCCCGCCCGCTACCAACCCATCCGGGACAAGATCGCGGACCTGTTCCAGGGCTTGCTTCGCAATGGCGCAGCCGCCACGGGCGCCTTTCAGATGTATTATAAGGGTGAGTGAGGCGGATCTTGGCCCAGAAGGGTGAGTGAGGCCGGGTAGCGAAGTGGCCCCGCGCTGCCTCTTCAGAACATACAAAAGCGGCTTAGTGCAGCAGCCTTGAAGCCTTTTGCATGGATTCCACCGTATCGGGAACAGCTTGACCAGACTGCTTCTAGCGTGTGGCTAAAGGTCCTTCATGGCAGTCAGAAATAGGGAATTTCTGTTTGGGAGAACTAGTGGAAATCTGCAGTTCATGCAAGATCTGGGGCCAGTGCCTTTTTTGGAAAGCTCTGCACAGTTATTGTGCAAGAATAAGCAACACAGGTGTAGGTTTTACTGAAATGGTCAGGTTATAAGAAATTTCCATCTGTTAAACTTTCAGATGTAGTGGTTAAAAGTTCAGCATCTTTGTGCATCAAAAAGGTGGTAAAGCAAGCAAGGTATTACGTGCTGTCTGATCCAGAACAGTTATCACCATCATTCTATAGTCAATTCTGTTTCAAGTGTGCTTGGAATCCACACACCCAGGTCTAGAAACCTTGCTTGCTGAAGTTTGGCCATAGTGCTTGACATGAAAAGGCACTCTGCACATGTACAGAGGCAATCTTTTCCACACAGCTTATAAGGCTGAGGCCTGGCACTAAATATGTTAAAAGGCTAGATCCTATTTAAGCCCCAGTACAGGTAACACCCTCAGTTCACCAGAATTCAAGTACAGGAAAAAGTGGGATGAAGAGCAGGCAGAAGGATCTACAGTATGACTACTCTTTAAGAATTCCAGCTGCAAGTATGGTCCCATTCCGATAAGGTTTTTGTTCCATGCTGCTGTGGTATGAATAAAAATACAGTAAATTTGCAAGTAGGCATAATAGTTTTGAACCTGCTCCTCTGATCATTACCTGGGAGGGAAGGTAATACTCTAGAAATATTGCTTGCACTTGGTCCCACCCGTACATTTCTGGTATTCAACACCCACTTCAGTGCTTGTGGCCACCTGTATGTGTGAAGGGACCTGTGGCAGCGAAACTGCGGGGAAGCAAATTCCTGCACGGTGATCTTGAATATACTTTTAGTAAAAGCTAGGCCAAAGCAGCATCACAAAGGAGCGACATACAGTGGGATAAGCTACAGGGTGTCTCTCATGAAAGGAAAGTGTGCTTCCTAGCATTTAATAGAATACAAGGTGATGGTGGATGTGATTGTGATGGCATGCTCTTAATTTCAGAGGCTGACAAGTTGTCTTCAGAACTTGACAATGTCTGTTCTTAACTTGGAAAAGCAGAAAGCATTTATACCTGCTTGCCACTTAATGTGTGCCATGGTTGACTTGGGTGGAGATATTTGTACACCGGCAATGCTGTCTGTGTTTCTGGCGCTCTTGAGATTGAAATTCTGCCAATATGGTTTGTCATTAAAAGAAAAATAAAGAGGGGTTTCATGTCAAGGAACAGGTTACAAAAAGCCTCTGTCCTACAGCTATTTGCTTTGTATAAAGCCTCTTAAAGCTTCAGTACAGATTTATCATGGACTAGCTTTTCCTTGTTGTCATGGTGAAAAAATAACTTGATTAGCGGTGGAGATCTTTGCTCTTTCAGTGGAAGATTACATTTCTTTTGTCTGAGTCTTAGCTAGCGATATGATGCAATCTGAAGCTTATTTACCTTCAGATGTTGATTTAAGTAATTGAATAATAGCATTTTGCTACAATTCAGGTGACTGTAACCAAAGGATATTTTTCTATCAGTATAAATGGTCAAGTAGATAGAATAGTACAGAGCAATTTCCTTGATGATACTTGTATGTAGCTCAACAAAAACAGCTGAGAGGGGTGGTAGTTTCAGAAAGGAAGTTATACTAATATCACCTGCTCAATCAAACTGTGTATCAGTGCATTAGGATTCAGCACAGCAGTGTTTTCTCCTGCTTGAATCGTAACTGCCGAAATGGTGCACTACTACAGAACCTTCAGGCTGAGGCTGTGTATTCCTCTTGTTAAAGGAGTTACTGTTTTCTTCTTTCAGATGAAGATGGAGATATGGTTGCCTTTTCCAGTGATGAGGAACTGAAGCTGGCTCTACCCTGTGCAAAAGATGGCGTGTTTCGTGTTTTTGTTAAAGGTAAACTTGATTCTCTTGAGCCAACTCCGTATTCTCTTAATTAGGTTTTTTCAGCATCTGTGTTGTAATGCAGGAGTGGGTAAGAAGGTACATCTCCAGATGTTTTGGACTTTCCTGCCAGCATGGCCACTTGCCAGAAATGCTGGCAGTTGAACTCCAAGAATCTGGATATATTCTGTTTGGCCTTGTTACAATGCAACTAAACTATGCCTAAGGGGTTAAGACTGGTCCAAAAAAAGGCACTTTACTGCTTTCAAGAAGAAATGCAGAAAGCTACAAATAGTGACTCACTATCAGGCAGTCTGCCTGATGTGCACTATAGGATTGTAGTAAGCCAGACCATGTCAAAGAACAGTTGCTCTGCTTTAGGATACACAAAAGCCAGGTATCTTTCACATTTGTTTCTGTCACTAATCGCCGCTCATAGATCCTTTGTCTGCTGGTAGATACTGCACCAAGGTAGATATTTGAAGAAAAATGCTGCCAATTGGAAATTATTCTGTAGGGGTCAGTTATTAGAAAAAGAAAGCTATGGTCATTTAAAACAGATTTCATATTTCATACAAGCAGGGCTGACAACATTGAATGCCAGAAAAATGGTGCTTTAGTGATTTTAGAATCTATCTTAATTAAGCAACAGCCTGTTGAACATATTTCAGCACTCTAAAACAGATAAATTTTTGGAAAATACTGTGTAAACCCTTGATCTATTTATATATAATTATCAAAAATATGGTAACTGTATCCAAAACAGAAACCTTTGCTGACAGAACTCCTTGGCATGTGGATGCCACCACTGGCAGTGCAAAAAGTGGGGAAGTTTGGGAGTGTTGGGACTGCTGAGGATCAACAGGTTCAAAGATCTCCTTGTTCTGCTGATAAAAGCTGTAATAGGAGCTAGAAATTATGCAAGCGAAAGAGCTCAGTGGGAGGGGAGAAACGACCTTCTCTCCCTTCTGCCCTGGCTTACTTTTCTCCCCGAATTGCTCTGTAAGGCTGCAATCATATGCCTACTTACCAGGGAGTAAGCTCCAGTATTGAGCACAGTAGGGTTTACTTTAGAGTAGAAGTCCACTGTAGGTCCATTTGATTGGCTTTTTCACCCTAGTATTTAACTAGGGAGGAAATTCCCAGTCTTTATGCATAGTACATGAAGTTGTTATGACATGCATTTAGACCACAAAATGAGGGATGTCACAATACATTAGATCCCTGTTAATTTAAATAGAAAACTTCCCAGTTATTTTCTTGGAAAATTCACATTGCTGATTTGTACCAAAGCTCCAACTGTTCTAAAGGCTATTATGAGGTCTGGAGCAAACAGGATGATCAGAGATGGAAGACAGTATACACTGGAAGACCTAATGTCCTACCTATCATCTAGTTTTGTTTTCTTCCTCAGAATAATTTTAATATTGGGCGTTCAAGTGATAGTAATAGCTGAGCAGTTTATGTTTCTGTCATACAGAGAAAAAGGAACTTAAGCGCGACCATCTGCACCGTCAGTCCTGCAGCCAGGAGCGTCCCCCAAACGTGGTGCATCCCAATGTGATCTGCGATGGCTGCGATGGCCCCGTGGTGGGTGCCAGGTTCAAATGCACTGTCTGTTCAGACTATGATTTGTGCAGTGCTTGCGAAGGAAAAGGAACCCATAAGGAACACAACATGATCATGTTTCCAAGTCCATTGGTCAACCCGCTTGAGGTAAGTATGATGATGAAAAGGTAGCTGTATGAATGTGGCTCTAATGAGACAAACTGCAATTATTTGGAAACACCCTTTTTTTTAACTCTTTAGTGGCTTCCTCGAGGACGTTGGCTTCGCAAGATGAAACATGGTGTGTCACCATTTCCATGGATGCAGGCCTGGGGGCAGCCTTGTCCTGCTCGCCAGTGTCAGACCTCTGGTGAGGCAGAAGCTAATGCTGCTCCACAGAATGCTGCTCCTGAGCAAGGTAAAAGTTTGGTTTTATAATAACTAGGATACTGATTGCAAATGCAAAATAAAAGAGTATGACAATTTGATATTTGTCCTAAGTGCATTGCTTGGAAATGTCATTGGTTTCAGAGGAACATGCTTTTGATAGATGTGCTTAAGATCTCAGGAATACTGTACCTAGTTGTTCTTAAGAACCAAGGAGCGCAAGAATACCTTTCTTGCACTTTCTTGAAGAATTTCCCTTTTATCTAATTGCTTATTGTTTCTTCTCTAGAAGAAGCCTCCAGCAGTCAGTCTCAGGATCAAAATGTCACCTTTCTGAAGAATGTTGGAGAAAGCGTTGCTGCATTCCTGAGTCCACTTGGTGAGATGTTGCTTGGCACTTAGCTGTTGTCTTCCTGCTGTGCTTATTAAAGGTTTCCATGTGGCATCGGGTGGGCTAGATAAGACTTTCATCAGGGCTGCTCATTGGTTGCTCTCCTGTTCCTTTGCTGAAGGGATGTGCGCTAGTTGCAGCAATGCCACAGCCATATTTTTGCTAGAATATGACTGCCATGTTATCCTTCTGTTTAGTTTGCCACTTCATCTCATCCTTTCTCTGCTATTAATCTGTCTTGGACATCTTAAAAAACTGGTTAGGCTTTTTTCATTTCCTAAAAAGTGCTATTGCCATAAACTAGGGATAGTGTAGGGTAGGCAAGAATGGGCCTCCCTCACCTATTTTATCCGGTACTTTCCTTGCACAATAAAGAAGATGCCAGTACTTCAAATATACTATGAGGGCACTATGTAAAGACCGGATATAAATACTTGGAACTATCACAGAGCAATGTCATGTAGGAGAAAGAAGGTGACACTGTAAAATGCAATAAATTTAAAAGCAGCTGGGTGCCAAATACATGTCAGCTGTTGTAACGCCATCCATCTCTTACGCAAACTAGGTTTTTTCACATTTTCCCAAATGATTGCTGAGTGGGAATGCACAGCTTCTACCCAAGCTTCTTTACAGAGTTTTATCAGGCAACTACTTTTGTCTGATGTTCAGCATGGCTAACCTTTTATTTAACATATTGTTAACGCCACTTGTCAGAAACATAGAAACAGAGTGAGTCAGAAGGGGCCTCCCGGGCCATCTAGTCTGACCTCCGGCACCAGCCGGCTCCGCTCACAACATGCCCACCATGTGGACGTCCAGCCAAGAGAACCAATGTAAATCAGGTTAGAACTGTTAAGGATGCAGTAAATCTCAGCTGTCATTTAATTAAAAATATTAATAGAAAAATATCCAAGCAACCTACATTCAGGCCTTAGAAATTAGAAGTACTAGACAGAAATGTACATGCCTTAAAGGTGGCCACCAATTTCCATCTATCATCTTTTTCTAGGCATTGAAGTTGATATCGATGTGGAGCATGAGGGCCAAAGAACTAAAGTGTCACCCAGCCAGCCCAGCTCTGAGGCGAGCAGTTCCAGACCTGGCAGTTCCAGTGACCCAACCAGACCAAAAGGAAATAGCAAAGGGAAACCGGCTTCAGATGCAGGAGATATTACAGAGCAAATGCAGGAGATGATGGTATGTTCTCCCATTACACAGATGGAAGACGACAATCTTTTGTCACAGGTACAAGAACTGCCCATTCTGAATATGCACTCAAAAGTGCCAAGATGCATGCGTTGTTCAGCTTAAACTAGACTGACACTACTAGTGCTTGTACTGATATTTTGTTACGTCGGGTTTTGTTTTAATATGCAAGAGTATTCACTTTAGAAATGCTCTTGAGTATAATAGTCTTACTAATGTTTCAACTGAAAATAAAATAGCTTATGCAGACAACTGTAACTTTGTAGCAAATCATACTTTGTTCTGCTATCCTTTAGACTATTCACATTAGGCCTTGAATAGGCATGTAGGAACATTACATGCTGGATATGGTTGGAATAGTCAGAGCCTGTAATTAAGCAGCAGACGCTGGGTGAACCTTTCATATACCTAGCACCATGTGTAGGAACACTATTTTTACTGTTTATAAATCTGCAGCTTGACCACAAACTCTCTGAAGTGACTAAAATTCTCTTGTGGAAGAATGTAGCTGCAATGTTGCATCTGAAGTGGAGGGGGCTGGCAGGTGTATCGAATGCATAATTGCTCCTGCGATTCACCTTATTTGCTATCTACTATATTACTTCAAGTTCTCTGCTTCTCTCCTTTGTATTGGAGGCTGAAAAGCAATCTAATATGGCTCTTTCAATGCATGGTTCTAGTAAATAATTTTATCAGGAATCAGATCGTTAACTAGTATGTTGTCTGATTTCAGGAGCCAGGTGAATCTGGTAGTTCAGCAGGAGATGAGGACTGGACCCATTTATCTCCAAAGGAAGTAGACCCTTCGACTGGTGAACTGCAGTCCTTACAAATGCTAGAGACAGACGGTCCAAGCTGCCCAAATCCAACTGAAGCTCCTGTTAATGCTGGACCAACTGGCTTGCGAGAGGCTGCACACTACCCTCATCTTCCACCAGGTAATAAGAGCTTGGAAGGCTGCATACAACCCTACCATGCAGGCCAGGTAGGACTGCTTTTCGATGTTGGGACTATCTAGGCCTGCCTTCCTGAACCTAGCACACTCCAGATGCTTTGACTATCACTGTCCTTGACCATTGGCCATGCTAGCTAAGGCTGATGTTAATTGTTATCCAGAACAGCTGGAGGGTGCCAGCTGGATGAATACATCTTTTGTCAGGTGCATTTCAAATACAGGGGGCCCAACTGCAGTGGGTTGACTTGTAAAAAGTCTGGTCAGGAAAAACATGATGTTTTGGTGGACTCATCTTGTGGAACTTAGAGCTCTGGCGGTGGGGTGGTATAGAAATAAATAGTAGTACCTATCCAGGGCTTTACTGATAACAGGCAGCACCTGTTGGCAAGGTGACTCTAGAACAGTTGTTTATTGCTCACCAGGGAAGGACTGTTACATAATGCTAGCCTCAACATTGGGTCCATTCTGTCACCCCATAAAGCTTGTAAGAGTCAGCTTATGCCGAGTGTAAGTAATCTTTGCTGAGGCAACTGCCAACACCTCAATAACTCTCCAGAAGACAAAGGAGCGTTGCACAACCAGTAGAGGGGCCGTGCAGTTGTGGATTGCATCGGGAGTCCCTTTGACTACAGTTTTTAAAGTAACCGCCTGTTTCATACTCCGCATATTAACAGAAGCAGATCCCCGTCTGATCGAATCCTTGTCCCAGATGCTGTCCATGGGATTTTCGGATGAAGGAGGCTGGCTCACTCACCTGCTGCATTCCCGGAACTATGACATAGGAGCAGCTCTGGATGCCATCCAGTATGCCAAGCACTCACGAGCTCCAAAGTAGCACCTGTGCAGCCCTGCAATTCTTAAAGCAGATGGTTAACGCTTGTTCCATAAAGCATCCTTTTTGTATCTCTTCCTTTCTCTCACTGCAAAAAGCTGTTATTCCTATACTGTAAAAATAAAGGTACCACACCAACATTCACTACTGCTTTATCTTTGTGATTCTTCAAGTAATATTAGTAATAAATGCTATTATTTACATAATAGGCGGTACTGCAGGAAGAGTTGTGGTAGCTAATTTGTTATTTTACCTTCAAGTAAAGTGTGCTGTAATTTCAATCCTGCAAGTTACCGTATTTTTCGCTCTATAAAACACATCTGACCATAAGACGCACCTAGTTTTTAGAGGAGGGATCCATGGAAAGCTTCCTGATAATCACAAGCACATTCCCCATCACTTCCCCATGGGCTTCATTAAAAGACGGGTTGCCATTTGAAAACACACACCAACCTGTAATTAACAGCTCTCACCTGCGCGGGGGCGGGGGGGGGGCAGAGCAGGGTGCGCCAAGCGTGTGCCGGCCAGGTGGTGCCATGTGGTGCAGCCGGGACGGCAGCATGTCAGCGGTGGTCTTCCGGGCAGCGCGGCAGGTCTTCCCGGGCGGTGTGGGTGAGCAGTCCGTCTCTCCGTGGGGCCGGTGGGTTAAAGCCTGTGGCTCCTCCTCCGCACCGCTCCCCGAGCGGCACAGCTCTCACCTGCGCCTGGGGGGGGGAGGAGCAGCGCGCACCGAGAGCGTGCTGGCCAGGTGGTGCCACGTGGTGCAGGTGGGCCAGCAGCATCCCAGGCGTCAGGCACACACACATTCACTCTATAAGATGCACAGACATTTCCCCTTACTTTTGAGGGGGGGAAGTGCATCTTATAGAGCAAAAAATACGGTAATGGTTTTGGAGATCAGATCAAAGGTATTTTGTATTTGCAAATTGCAAAGTATCTGTGCCCTCTCCTATATTCAGAGGCTGTACTTGCTCCATATGCACCTGTGCCTGCCAGCTGGTGGACTGTAATGACCGCAGCCCCCTCTTGTGGATAAAGCTGGCCTCACCTTCATGCAGTCACACTGTTCATTTCACTATATAGCTAGGCTTAAATGAATAGGGATCCATATATTTACTGTATTTCATCACATGACAGGGAGTGAATTCCAGAGGAGCCAGCAATCTCCTCTGCACCTCACTGGCTCATGAAGGAAAACGGGGACAATAAGGAACTTGCTCTTCTATGAGCCAAACCCCATTACATTGCATTTACATCCCACCTTTTTCCACCTGAGGAACTCAAGGGGACTGACACAGTTCTTGTCTTATCCTCACCACCACCACCACCACCGCCACCACGTGAAGTAGGTTAGGCTGAGAGCGTGTGACTGCCCCAAAGCCACCCAGTGTTACAGCCAAAGGGTGGGAGAGATGACTAGAATGTGCATCTCCCAGCTTCCCACTTCAAATACCCCCACATGCACACGGATTCCAGGGCCTGTTCAGCCAATAAAAGGGAATTTGGCTAAAAAAACCCCCAAACCCCTAGAAATGGTTTGGAAAGTTCTGCACCCTTTGCCTCTAGAGTTCTGGGGATAAGCAATGGCCATGATTGTATTGCTGCTTTGTTAATTTCAAAACAGAGACATTCAAGAAACTAAAGGTTATACCCGGAAGAGTACAGTATTTGAGTACAATCCCCTTTTTATTATTTATACAACATGGTTTTGTGATGTAAAATAGGTCATTAAGCTACAAAACCCAGTTGTGATACTCGGAGCCTTAAATATCATCATCAAAATCATCTCCTGTAGAAAACAGGTTTCTGTACAGATTCTTTGAATTTGAAATAGTAGGACTCACAGACGGAATGGATATAGATTGGTCAGGCACCCTTTCTTGAAGATGATGGACCTTTACCAAAGCTGGGGCATGGTATGCTTCCCTAGGTATGCTGGCTATTGCAGTACAGTCAATGGTAGAATCCTGTTGCGTGCGATCGAATGGAATGGCTTCAGGCTGCTGTGATGCATGATGCTGGTTACCATGACAGGTACCGCTGGAGACAGCTGCCCTTGCAGCACTCGCACCCGCAGCAGGCCCTGGGACCAGCATTCCCCGCCTCTCTTGTGTGGTGACAGCTGCAGTACTGCTGTGACAACTCTTGCCAGGTAAGAGGAATTTCTCCCACTTGGAAGGCCCAACAGCCCTTGATTGCACATCCGTGTCCTCTCTGTGACGCACACGCTCTTGTTCTTCAGCAGGCAGCATCACACTTTCACATGTAGCTTCTCCACAACTTTTTATACCCATGGTATCTGAATTACTTTCGTCCTATAATAAAAAGCAGGAAATAAATCAACACTGCCTTATTACAAACTAGCATAAACCCTTTTGCCTTACAAACCTGGAGCCCTTTTTGCACTGTAATACACATTCTTTTTCCTTTCCAGATGTTTTAACACATGAATCTGGATAGTATGGGTTGATTTGTTAGAAGGCAAGGGACCGATAGAAAGCAACAGGCATTAGGAAGCAAACACAATTGTGCTTGCTTGAGTACAGACAACCAGCTCTATCAGCCTATCCTACCCACCCCACACTGTTAGAAGGGAAGATAATCAGCTACCAAGTAAAACTACAATGGAAGCTAGAACTAATCTGTAGGCTGCTAGTATTAACAAAAGGTTAGAAATTTAACATAGGTTTTTCGAGTTACTCTTGTCCAAATTAAAATTATGACTTAACAAGAGCATCCTTATAAAACTGTTAGTTCTATTAAACTGATTAATCCAGTTTGACCATAAGTAAGGTCAAAAATGTATCCCACAAAGATGGATGGGAAAAAAGTCATGCAGTTGCAATCCTATGCATGTTTAGACAGGAAGAAGGCTTACAATCCCAGCATGCTGGGAAGCATTGAGGGCAAGACGAATGGAGCCAAATACAGGGTGAGTCTAGAGGAAAATCTGTTTCAGTCTGGAAGAAACTGAGAACTGGGAAAGAGGTTCACCCTTTGGAAAGACAATAACTCTGAACACACAGCCAAAGTAACATTTTGTTGTTGTTAGTCGTGAAGTCATGTCCGACCCATTGTGACCCCATGGACAACATTCCTCCAGGCCTTCCTGTCCTCCACCATCCCCTGGAGTCCACTTAAGCTCACACTGACTGCTTCAGTGACTCTATCTAGCCACATTCTCTGCCATCCCCTTCTTCTTTTGCCGTCAATTGTTCCCAGCATTAGGCTCTTCTCCAGGGAGTCCTTCCTTCTCATTAGGTGGCCAAAGTATTTGAGTTTCATCTTCAGCATCTGGCCTTTTAAAGAGCAGTCAGGGTTGATCTCCTCTAAGACTGACCGGTTTGATCACCTTGCAGTCCAAGGGACTCGCAGGAGTCTCCTCCAGCACCACAATTCAAAGGCCTCAATTATTCGGCGCTCAGCCTTCCTTATGGTCCAACTTTCACAGCCATACATTGCAACTGGGAAAACCATAGCCTTGACTATACGCACTTTTGTTGGCAGGGTGATGTCTCTGCTTTTTAGTATGCTGTCTAGATTTGCCATAGCGTTCCTCCCCAGGAGCAAGCGTCTTTTAATTTCTTGGCTGCAGTCCCCATCTGCAGTGATCTTGGAGCCCAGGAAAATAAAATCCGTCACTACCTCCATTTCTTCCCCATCTATTTGCCAGGAAATGAGAGGACCGGATTCCATGATCTTACTTTTCTTAATGTTGAGTTTCAAGCCAGCTTTTGCGCTCTCCTCCTTCACCCACATCAAGAGGCTCTTTAGTTCCTGTTCACTTTCTGCCATTAGAGTGGTATCATCTGCATATCTGAGGTTGTTGATATGATTTCTCCAGGCAATCTTAATTCCAACTGGTGATTCATCTAGCCCCGCCTTTCTCATGATGTGCTCTGCATATAAGTTAAATAGGCAGGGCGACAGTATACAGCCTTGCTGAACTGCTTTCTCAATTTTGAACTAATCAGTGGTTCCGTGTCCAGTTCTCACTGTTGCTTCTTGACCCACATACAGGTTTCTCAAGAGACAAATAAGATGGTCAGGTACTCCCGTCTCTTTAAGAACTTGCCACAATTTGTTGTGATCCACACAATCAAAGGCTTTAGCATAGTCAATGAAGCAGAAGTAGATGTTTTTCTGGAACTCCCTAGCTTTCTCCATGATCCAGCGTATGTTGGCAATTTGATCTCTAGTTCCTCTGCCTCTTCGAAACCCTGCCTGTACTTCTA